TGGCGGTGGTTCCGGTAGGATTGGGACTGGTTCAGGTGGGGGTTGGTTCATGTAAAGTAGGTGGTCAGGTCGGGGGGGGGGATGGTTTATGTCGATGGGGTTTCTGGTGGGGGCGGGCTCAGATGGGAGGGATTGGTTCAAGTGGGGTGGCCAGTTGATTTCGGCGCGTGGTGGAGGGGTTTATCTCCAGTGATCATTATCATTTTTTCCATGTACTCTTTTGATTTTAGGGCGTGCTTTGTTTTTATTTCATGTTTTCTAATGTATTTTCGAAAAAAGCAAAACACGAAAAAGGAAAAAGTGATTTTAATGATAACCTACTTTTTATATAACCCATTATATCGATTTTCAAATAAAATATAAGGCAATAAGTTTTTGCGGGACTCAAATCGCAAAAGGATTCAAATATATCTCCAATCCAAAATTGTTGTCTGAGCGTAACATAGGAATCGACTGTTTTGCTTTTATTTCAGACCTTAACTAATCTACTTCGTTACAATCAGCAGTAAGCGATCCATTGCGTTACAATCAGAACCTAATGGCCACAAAACGATAACGAACGCAAAAACAAAATGATAAATTGAAAGCAGCTTCAACTCTCTGAAGCTTCAAATCGTTACGAGCAAACAAAGCTCAGGTTAAGTGTTAAATATTTTTTCAATTGAAAGACTTATCCAGTTTTATCAAAACGCTGCAGTTTCTAGCGACCTGGGTTGACCAAAAACGCCTGTCATACAATTTTCATATATGGGAAAACGATATTAATACACGTTTCATGCAACGCCATAGGTATAAAAGCTTGAGAAGTCTAATTAAGATTTTTATGTTGGGAAATTATACGACTGGCATTTTTTTATGAAGCAAAAAAATTGAATTCTTTTAAACTATTTTCTAGACATTTTTGTAGGAGTTGAGTTTTCAAAATCTGAAACCAATTTTTTAAGATGTTAAGTTTGAGTTAGTAAATTTGATATGGTGAGATTTTCAGAGCCCACCTTTCCCATAGTCATCGAGTAGATTAATTATGAAAAAAATTTTCCGGTTCGTATACGTATTGATATAGGGTATACAGTCTGTAATAAAGTATGATACAAGATTTTATTAATTTTCTTAGATATGTTAATAGTTGACAAAATGTTAATATGTTAATAGTTGACACAATTAGATCGCTATCTTAATACTCTGCCGGTTTTTTGGGTTGGAAGTTACAATCTGAACGGTGTCCAATCCTGTTTGATTACCTACCTTGTTTGATTTTTGAAAAAAAAAATTGAATCAGCAGCTTATAAAAAAGCAAACGAGTTGTAGAGTTTCTCAATTTAAACAAATTTCTGGGAGGAAAAAATTTTGGATTCAGTTTGAAAGCCTCTAAGGCAAGTGAAACAAAAGAATTTTTTTCCTATTACGAATGGATTGATAGTCCAGAAAAGCTTGAGTGTGCGGAACGCGCCCCACGTAAAGTCTTCTAGGGTCAGTTGAGAAACAGCGAACCCCTTGAAAACAAATTGGACTAGAACAACAAATTCCCAGCAAAAGATTCTTATGCAATCAATTCCACCAAGGATTGCTTGCAAATATTTCTTTCGATAGAATAAAAATTAAGGTTATTTGAAGCCATGAAGACAAGTTATTCGAAACCATGCAATAATAATCGAGTTTTACCATAATGAAAGAATAGAATTGCTGAAATTGGCTGGCCGCTTCCAACCAAATATAACAAATACCTTCTGACACATTTCAACCAATTGCCAATTTATGTGAAAATGGTGCGGAAATGCGTGAGAAAACTAGAGAAAAGATGATTGGTTAAACGCCAATAGTTTTTAAGCGAAAAGCTGTTGTCGATCAAACTCATAAGAAAATTTCGTCAAACGTGTGGAAGACAATTGTGGAAATGACGCAAGCTAATTTATCCATTCTTCATGTGTCAGAAATACAAATCTGATTTTACACAAGATGGGAATTTGAGTCTGAATTCAAATTATCGAAGACCAAAATAAACAGTACAAGAAACTTGAGACCGTTGGTTTGTACTAATATTAAGATTCTTAATGCTAAATTGAGTTTTTTATACGACCGGATTGCAGAAAAGAAACTGACTCTTTTTATGTTGGTGGCTACTACGATCATTGTATTATAAATGATGCTATGGATTGCTACTATGACTTCTGCTCCAATAAGAAAAACTTCCAACTTTATTGGATCATGATGTTGAGATAAGAGTAAGAAAAAAGAAATGGATTAGTTGAGACGAGAATGAATACGAGAAAAAGACTACAATACTCTAAACGTGGGAGTATGAACAGGAAAACTATTTGAACTTGATTTAATCTTGCCGTGATAAATCTTATTTGCAAAAGAACTTTAACTACTGAAACATTAATGGAAAAAAAACAAAGAAAAAGAATAAAAAAAAATTTATTGCTTATGTCCATTGTAACTTGATAGTTTCCGATAAAACTTCAACCCCGTTTTCAAACTTGTCCGAATTTGAAAATTTTTGACGTCTGCTGGATAAACTTAGGAGAAAACATGAAAAACTATGCCGAACAATTCAAATTTTAACTATTCTGCAACAAATGCTGATTTCTAGCTTCAACTTGGAAAAATGGCTCAATCATCACACCCCTTCTTAGCTTCTATCTGGGACTTGGGCTTTAGATACCATTTAAAGCCTTACACTTCAAGAAAATGTTTCGAAACTTTGTGTAATATGTTATAAATGCTCGACGAGAAAAATACGAGAACCCACTCACTGGATTTATTGCAGAGGCGATGAAACATCTGGGTAACAGTTCATACGGTTACCAAGTCATGGGCACGTATAGACAAACAAAAACCAAAAATCTCGACCATAAGAAAACCAATGAAAACCAAAAGAACAATAAGTGATTGATTGTTGCAAAAAAAATTTGAGCAAAATAGAACTGTTGAAAACAATCATTGAACACAGTGAAAAAACTATTCAAAGACTTTGTTTTCTACAAAATGCTTAGCTCAAAATGTTGGAGTCATACAATAACCTTTTTTCTCTGTTTTGCGACGAATACAAGTTCGAGCAGCTGGAGACGGACACGGACTCTTTGTATCTAGCATTAGCAGAAGAGAAAAAAGACGATTGTAAATACCTGAGAAGAGAACTCATTAGTTTCCAATTTGTCAGAAACTGCAAGAATGGTTTATGGCCGGTTCAACGCAGATGTTTTTCCCGCTTACATCCTGCATACCTATTATCTTTGTGTGCGGAGTATATACAGGTTTTATTGAATAGAAAAAACCTAATTCTGTCTGTATAGAATTGATTATCCTTCGAAAAGTAATTGTAAATAAACCGAATCTATACATAAATTGATCTGTAGACTTTTCTGTAGATAGTCCTTTTTTTCACTGCGGGTTGCTAAATTTTTTAAAAACTACAATTGTTTGTGAATATTGTCTAATCTATTTGAAAAACGCTGTTCTTACAAACAAAATCGGAGTTTGATGCGAAAAATATATGAAAAAGAAAAATTCAAATGGGATCAAACTTTTTCCCAACTGGAGACAGCAACAAAATCTGAAAAGAGAGCAATTATTCGCAGTGAAAAAACGTATGCTTAGATAAACGTTTAGAGCTATGAAAAATTTTGTGCATTATATTTTAAGCGAATAGTGCTTTTCAACGTCTTTTTAATCCTTACAATAGTTAAACGAATTTTTTCTTTTCGGTCGCATCGTGCAAAAATATTTTAATTCGGTTTTTAAGCATAACTGATTAGTGATCATTGTTTTCGACAAACCCTACCTGTTTAAGTTTTTAGATTTTTTTGGCGGAATTGAAAAAAAAGTTTGGAGGAAATGAAAAACTGTTCAATTCATCGACTAACGATTTGAGAAGTTTAAAAAACGTGTTTTTCTTATTACTACCAACAATTTAAGTTTTCGGAAGATTTTTCACCTCTCGGCACATTTGAACACAAACAATTTCAGACATTTTCAAACAATTTTTTTTCTGCACTGTTGGACATTTTTTCAGCACTTTTGTACTTTGGCAAAAGATGTCAAAAATTGCAGCACAAACTATTATTGCTATTTTCGTAATAATAGTAACGGAATACGCAAAAGTAACGGAATACTTGAGATCAGGTTGGTTTTTTTTCTTCAGACAATTTTCGACTTTTTAACTAGGAGTTTTTTATATCATTCAAAAAGTATTGTTGTCCTGAGCTTAAATTCGAAAAGATATTTTACTTGTCATCGTTTTTTGTAAAAATAAGAGGGCTTATAATTATAATATATTTCGCGCTATTACCGCGCAAGCGGAGATTCAATCTGTCTTAGAAATTGTTCGAAATTGATTGAAGGAAGCTTATTTGCCATAAAGGATTTGTTACTAGGAGCAAAAATTATCATTTTGTACTTAATATGGCATGTGGGGGGATGATTTTCATAAAAAATCTCAAATTAAAAAAAAATCATTTTATTTTTCTGACAATTAATTTTTTCATGCTATTATTGCTCCATAGACTTTGAAAGGCAGTCGGAACATTCAGGGCTTGGCGCTGATACGAGCATCCTTTTTTTTTTATTCATTGGGATATGATTTATTGGGAAAAGAAAGAGAAAATTGGTTTTACGAGCAGTTTTGTTTGATTTAAAATGGATCGAACGATACCAAAAGTCTGACAACGATTGTCATTTTGTTAAACAGTCAGTCGAATTTCATTTTTCCTGGTTCCTTACGTGATCATAAAATGGTTTTCGAGCTGAAACATCTGATTATTTAAATATCTTGTTCACTTGAATAAGGAAATGTATTGTACCTTAAACGTGGTATGAAAAAGCGTTTAATCAAAAGAAGAAAAACTTCTGAAGAAACGACGCATAACTGGTTCAAAAAATCCTTCAAAAATCCACTAAAACTGTTTTTCCATTGGGTTAATTCAAAGTGATCTGACTGATGTCCAAATTCCGCTAGTGAAAACTTTTAAAGTTTCAACGATTTGGAAAATATAACCTACCTTTCGATGGAATAAATTCTGAATAAATAACTTCAATCTAATTAATTTCTTCCTTCTCTCGCTGCTATGGTGGATCCTGCGGCAGCCTAAAACAATTATTTAAAAAACTTTTTTTGTAAAAAAAAAACAGCAAGTTCAGATCAAAGCTTCTCTGCGGGGTACGTTGAAATGTTTACAATCAAAGAGTTTTTGCTAAGAACTAGTTTTATGTTATATCATAAAGCTTTAATATATCATAAAACAAGTTTTATCAGCGCTTGGCTGTGAGGTTTTCCATTCACTTTATGGTGTTCAAATGGTATTCGGCTCTGGAGTTTCATGGATACTATCTAAATATATTGGATTTTCTTTGTCAGTCTCTTACAAAGACAAAAATAATCGATTATAATCAATTAAAAATGGGTTATAATTAGTTTTTGTTAAATCAATAGTATCCATTTAATCGATTATAATCAATTATGATGGATTATAATATATTTTTTGTATTTTTTTCCAAAATTATAAACAGTGCAGTATATACAAAGTTTGACAGTTTCTGTAAGCCTAATACATCAGATAAATGGAGTTTCTCATGAACGTTTAATTTCTCATCTTTTTGCTGATCTTTATCTATTGATCCATTTTGCGTCTCTTACCGTCCCACACATCTCCTCCAACCCTGTGTACATCCCCCCGCCGCTGCTTACTCTTCGTTTGCACCCCTATGTATATAACTCGTTTTCGCCTCCACCCCCATTTACACCCTTCTACACACACAAAAAAAAATATGTTAAAATTACCTTAAGCTATTTAAGGTAATTTTTACCCTAACTGATTTAAATTTAGCTTAACCATATTTTTAACTGAAAAAAAAATCAGGTTAATTTTAACAAAGTAGGAGTAAGGGAAACAAATAAAAATTAGATTATCCTGACATTCAACCATTCAACGAATATATTTTTGTATGTATGCATGTAGCTATGAATGTGTGTATGTATATATGTATGCATGTATGTGTATGTATGTATGTATATATGTATGTGTGTGTGTATGTATGTATGTATGTATGTATGTATGTATGTATGTATGTATGTATGTATGTATGTATGTTTGTATGTATGTATGTATGTATGTATGTATGTATGTATGTATGCTTGTATGTATCTATGTATGTACGTATATATGTATAAATGAAATTATCAATTTGGTGATAGTGATATTAATTCCATCAATGAAATATTTAGGTGCTTAATTGCTATTAAGCTTTACTGAAATTTGTATATTTTAAGGAGCCTTTCTTTTTTTCGCATGAGAATCAAATAAGAGGCCGTCACGTGGCGGTTTTGTAGAAATGTCTTACTTCTGTAAGAAATGAGCTGACATCTATGTATTATTTTTTTTCTAAACCTTTTTGGTTTCACATTTCTGTCTGCCTTCATATTGTGCCTTTAAACATCATCGGGGAATTTAATCAAATCTGTTTTTAGCAAACAACCGAAATCATGAGCTCCAATAGAAAGAAAACGGAAAGAAAACTGTTTCATTTGTAGCTTTGGATGCAAGCAATTTACATCCGACAAAACGACAAAAACAAAATGTCATTCATGAGCTCAAAACAAGCCGAGAAATTTTACCTTATAGTACAACAAAACTTCAGGTAAATTTGCCAGCTTTAAAAACAGCTATAAAAGACAGCTTTAAAATAAACTCTTTAAACTCTAAAACAAATTAAAAGTTATTATGTATCAACATTAAAAAACACCTGAAAACATTTTTTCAGGTAAAATTACCTGAAATTTTTATTTAAAAAAGTAGGTAATTTACCTATATTCACCTTATCATAAATGTATATTTACATTAATTTTTTTACTGAAAAAGTTAAGATAAATTCACTTGAACTGTTAAAGTAAAATAACCTAATTTTCTCATTTTTAAGGTTTTTTACCTTCACACTTCAGGTAAATTTACCTTAACTTTTGTAATTTTAGTGAAAATTTTAAGGTAAAAACACGTTAATCTAAACGTAAAAATAGGTAAGTTACCTATTTTTTTAAAGTAAAATTGAAAGATAAAATAACCTATAAAAATAGATTTAAGGTTTTTTTTTAAAGCTGATGCACCATAATTTTTCAAATGATTCAAAGTAAATTTTTAAGGTGTTCATAAGTAAGTTGAGGTGTACTTAAGGTAATGTAACTTTAGCTTAATTGCTGCGATCTTTCAAGGAATTTTTCTGGTGAATTCACCTTAAGTTTTTTTTAGTGCATCCACGTTTGCATCCCTGCCCCTCACCGCACTTTAACCTCACACACACACACACACACACACACACACACACACACACACCCACACACTTACATACACCTTTCCACATTAATGGAGAGGGGTTGGTGGTGGGAGCCTGAGGGGTGTTTAAACGACTTGGAGTGAAAAGTAATCGCAGGGCTGGGGTGGAGTGAGGGGAGGGGGTTTGAACAGGTTAGTAGGGTTAAACACTCATTTTGAATAAAATTGATTAGGTTTAGATTTCGATTAGGCCTTGAGCTTAGCAGAAAGTGTTGAAAATTTTTCAAATAAGTTTGCAAAAACTATAGAGATTTTATATTGTTCACTTAAAATCAATTATAATCATTAAAACAAGCATTAAAACATGCATCAAAACTCGGTGCTTCATCGTGGGTTCAGCATCAACGTTGGTTCCGCATCATTACTTGTTTTCTTTAAAACCAGCGGGAGAGAAAATCTTCAGCATGACAAGATCCCAAAAATGCTCATCGGAGATTCCATAAATTTGATTGAAAAACTTTTGAGCCAAAAATGAGATTTGAAAAGTGAGATAACTTTTTAAGAAAATTGAGATGAAATAGAAAATGTCTAATCAGAGGGTGTCTGCAAATATCGTATATATAAAATGTTCCTGAGTTGCCTCAGCAATAATGTGAATGTATGCCCCTAAAAGTGTTTTGCCGGTTCCTTATCAAATTTTTAAAAGTATTACACTGTAGAATTTACCATAAAAATTAGAGATAAGAAAGCTCTGTACTGAAACTCTACTGTAAATTAGTCAATAATTTACCTCCGACATCCAAATCCTGGTAGAAAATGGTTTGGTTTGCGTTTAAAAACAGAGTGCTAAATATAAACATGTTTCGACAATCTCGACCAAATTTTGGCATGCTTTGACTTTCTCAACCAAACTTTGGTATATTTCGACTTTCTCGATCCAGCAAAAAAAAACTTTCGACTTTGTTGGTTCCAGTTCGGGTACTTTTCGACTCTCGGTATAATTTGGTATATTTCGAGTTCTTCGGCTGTCTCGACTGACACTTTTTAAATGTTTGTTTGTTCAATTTCGCATGGATATGTTTTGATTTTCTCAACCAAAAATGGGTAGGTTTCGACTGTCTCGATAATTTGCAAAATTAATTTGATCCATCTCAAGAGTCATCCACTCTCTGGGTCACAAGAATGTGAGCTTTATTTTGAGTTTAGTCTCTTATTAATTAAGTAATATGGCGAAAATAGCATGTTTAATAGTCAAATATTCGTCTAGATAAAAAAAAGTCTTCGAAAGTCAGAACAGCAAGGCTCCTTGTATCAGGACGAGATCCTCAGTGTAATGCTTTTTGATTATCGACTTATGTTTCGACTGTGCTCAACTCATATTTCGACTGAGCTCCAAACAACTTTCGACTCTGTTTGAAATAAATTTCAACTGCGCTCGAATTAAGTTTCGATTGTGCTCGACCTACGTTTCCACAGTGCTCGACCAATGTTTCGACCGTGTTTAACATATCTATGTTTCCACTGTGCTCGACATAAGTTTCGTCGTTCTCGATTTATGCTTCAACTTTGCTCGACCTATGTTTCGACATTGCTTGATCTATGTTTCAACTGAGCTTGACCTATGTTTCGAGTGCTTTTGACCTGTTTTGACTTTTTCAACCAATGTTGGTATATTTCGATTTTGTTCGACCTATTTGTTGTGTTTCTCGACAATCAATTACCTGACTAAACTGAAAAAAACTATAATTATCAGGAAAACCTTACAATTTGACTTAAAAAATTACTCTTTCAAATTGATATTTCTTATTTGCTTTTAATTTTTTTTACAATTTTGGACTGAAATTGCTGTTCTAAAAATTGATGTTTAAAAAAATTTTGATAAGGATTCCCTCAAAAAAAATTAAAGGATTCCCTCTGATACTTTTAGTTTTGCGGTAAGCAACTCATTTAAAAAGATTGTTGCTGAGTGCAACTGACTGATGGAGGTAGTTTTTGAGCAATTGTTGAAATCAGTTTCTAGCTCAAACTTAGTTGAAATCGTCAAAAAATGAGGTTTAGAAGATTCAGTTTGCACTCGACCAATGTTTTGACTTTTTTACCCATGTTTTGACTCTCGTCGCCTATGTTTTGCTTTCCTTAGCCAATATTCGATGTGTTTCGACTGTCTTCGACTGTGTTTGACTTATGTTTCGAATTTCTTGAACAAAATTAAAAACCTTTCAAATGTGCTCGACCTACGTTTCGATTGTGTGCAATCTGTGTTTCCGATTTCTCGATCTGTGTTTCGACTCTATCGATCGAAGTCGGGTATTTTCAACTGCGCTCGAACTACTTATCGACAGTGCTCTACCAATGTTTCATTGTGTTTGACCTATCTATGTTTCAAATGTGCTCAATCTATGTTTGACTTTGCCCAGGCTAAGTTTCAACTGTGCTCGAGCCATTTTTGGACCGTGATCAACCTATGTTTCGATTGTGCACGAGCTATGTTTTGACTGTGCTCGACCTATGTTTCGACTGTGCTCGACCTATGATTCGACTCTTCTTGACCTGTTTTTCGACTTTCTCGACAAATAGTTCGATTGAGCTCGACCTATGTTTTGACTTTCTCTACATATAGTTCGATTGTGCTCGATCTATGTTTCGACTTTCTTGACCCATATTTCGACTGTGCAGGACTTATATTTTGACTGTGCTTGACACTTTTTTCGACTGTGCTCGACCTATGTTCCGACTGTGCTCGACCTATGTTTCGACTGTTCTCGATCTATTTTTCGATTTTCTCGACATTTAGTTTGATTGTGCTCGCCTTTGTTTTGACTT